TCGCAACCAAATGGTTATGTTTATAAATTAAGCGTAAAACGGGACGCAACCAAATTGTTGTTTATAAATTAAGCGCGAAACGAGTCGCAACCAAATGGTTATGTTTATAATTTGGCTGATAATAAATACGTATCTGGTGCTATGCCAGCCTTCTGTCCATTTTTTCTAGTGACTAATGAAAGACAACGTTTGGCCTCGTCAATAGGTGGACTTTCTTCTAGAAAGCCTTCTAAGCACACTTCACCCACCAGGAAAGTAGCCGAACATTCTAAACATTATTAACTAACAGAATTTTATTTCTTTGGTGATCTCTAAGATCCTGTTTTCAATTCCTCTGAACTACTTTTTCCCTTTTGCCATTTGCCTTCACTTCTACAACTTTCAAAAGTGCTTTTGTAGAATTACGCATTTCTTATTTACAAATTTAGAATCATTTATTATTAATCAGCGAATGAAAACTTGTTTGTTTTAAAATTTTTAAGAATATATTGATTTTATAGCAATTGAAAAATTTATGACTTATATGTATAGTAATAGTTACTAAAGTACTTCATCGTTTCGTTCGCGTATTGCGTTAGTTTTACTTGAAAGCTTTGGATAATTTCATTTTCTTCGGCTGCTGCATTTCTTATCGAATAGAGTATTCAAGTAAACCAGTTGTTCGCAAAAATTGGAAGGCATTGTTTGACCAAACATAGCTTTCTTCACCTTGTTTTGTTCTTGAAAAGTGTTATTTGATAAAAAGTTAACAATTTCCAACTCGCGTTGCGATGAATAGTCTAAATCTTGTTCGGTAATTAAATAATAATAACTATCCTTATCGCTTTCTTTCGTTTCACTTTGAGTCCTTTGAAGTTTTTCATATTTCGATACCAAATTAAAACTGAGCCTATTATTTATACACTGTTCTCTAAAATTTACAGCATGCTTCAAATAAGAAACGCATATTTCGCAAATATTTTTTGGTAAATAAAATGAAATAACAATTCGATTATTTATTAAATTAACTGAAATGAAGGAGGGTGGAAGCGATCTTTTATCCTGTAAAATGTTTATCGTTTCCCGTTTTCTCATCAAACCTTTATTCCGTTGCCACTTTAAGAATTCATTACAATTAGCATTTAAGAAGGTTGGAATCTTCGCAAATATTTCATGATCGGCCGGTGATGAACGCAAATGGATAAATACGCTGTGATACGCACATAAGTGCGTTTGTGTGAAAAAAACACCAATAGTAACTCTTCTCATCGTTTATTTAGTATTGAAGAATTCTAAATTTCGTGTACGCTAAATGCTGCGATAAATTACAATCAAAACTTTCATATCTAGACATATGGGGAAATTTTATATTACTAAAGCAATTATGTTACAAGAATAATTTTTATTTATCTACTTTACTTATTATTTATATATCACATTATTTATATATACTTTGCACGGCGCGTTATTTCATAAGACTGGCGTTCTAGAATGCATTTTAGAATGTTGTAGAATATTCCATATTTTAGTTTCTAATATTCTACTAAAATTCCTTCCTATTTTTTCACAGAATCTTTTCGTTGCAATTCAAAATGGTCACTACCTCCCATAAAATTGCCAATTTTAATAGAAAAATTGCAGGATCCTAACCTGGATTTCAGATTTAATGTAAGTTTTTCATGAAGCGCAATCAATATCTAATAAATTTTTTTTATGCTTTTCTCAGATTAAACTGATTTTGACGGAACATGCGAAACATTTCTTAGATTTGGCTAGCATTCCGCAGAATGCAAAATATTGGATGATGAGATGGAATGGAAAGGATGCAATAAACGCGGTGATCCAGTAGTGCATATTGAGTTAGGAAAATGGGCCGATTTATTATCAATGGTTTGTAAACTTTTTCATTCAATTCCTTTCATGTAATATCTTTCTTTTAATATCTTCTTTAATACCATTTCAGGGATTATGCGATAATCTTCTTATGTGTGTAGTACGCGCTTGGGATTTGAAAAAAAAAATATATATATATATATAAAAGAAATTGTTATTCTTTTTAATGGTTTCCTGATTGTTTCCGATTCTTTTTCCTCGACTTGGTCGCTTGGAGGAAATAAAATAAAACTAGCGATAAGAATCTACCTGAACGAATTTCTATTCTATACAATTTTTTGTTTAAATAACTATCGGAAATTTTTACTGAAATATTCCATTTTAAATAAATGAAGAATTTATACTGAATACCCATAGAAAAGCATTAGAATTTCTATTTTGAATGTGCCCCCTTTTGTTAGCAAATCTAAAATTTATATAGAAGAATATATAATATATATTTGAATAGCATTTCATTGGTACTATTTGTAAACATGTGAAAAATAAACAAAACTCTTTTACAACATTATTACATTGGGGTTGCTGGAGCATCCCATAATCAACATGGACAAGAGTAATACTTCTTTACAGGCTGCACTTAGACTCTTCAAGACTTCTCCCATTAATGTTTTCGTTTTTTTAAATATTTTACATGAATACCAACTTGGGCCGTCAGGCGGATAATAAAAATGATAATCAATTTAATCTTCTAGATTTTGTGAAGCATAAAAAATTTGTAAAGATATTTTGAAAACTCTCGACATTATAATGAGACGAACATTTCGGTTTCTCTCTGTCGTTTTCGCCAACGCATACATTTTGCAGTGATTTTCCGAAAGACTAACTATGTATATATAATAAATAAAAACCATGGATTTTCGGCTTTGAAGAAACAGTAGCTTTGCTGTGATGTTTTAACTAAATACTTCCGTATTAAATGAAATAATTACAATTACATTTACGAAATACTTACGCAAAAATGTTATCCTCGCGTACCTACATTACTTACTATAAAACTACGAAATCAATAGATCTTAGAAAAACAAGTGAGATTGTGGATTAAGAGACTGATTTGCGCAGTTTATGTTTCATATCCTTGCTTTACCTGTGTAGATGTTAGATTAGCAGTTGTTTTAAGCCATATTGTGTAGTTTCCTTTGTGAACGTATTTCCTTTCTACGTAACTGAATAATTCCAATTGTGCGCGTTTATCTTTCGCTTAAGAGGATGGTGTATCATTTTCAGGCTAAATCAATAATTCACGTAGGGCGTTTACTAACTATTAAAATCAGGGACATAATTTTAGCAAATAGGTCAGTTTACAAACGTTAATATACGCAAATAACATGAAGCACTTAAAATAAGCTCATTTATATATATGTATACATATGTACAGTCACTAAACCTCTTTTGTGCTATTCTTATTTTCTTTTCTCAAAATTTTTATTAACAATTTTACTAACTTTAGAATGGTCTGTAAAAAGATGTTTTAAAAAAAGTTATTTCATGGTTGAGCGCAAATGTATTTGTATTTGCTTACCACGAGTGGTCGCTGATCTCTTTTAATAAAAGCTAAAATTTGAAACCGTAATTTTCCTGGAGTTTGAAATAGCTCCTTACTGTTGGTTAGGATACCGCGAGAATGGGGTAACCAATTAATAATTTATTCGGCAAACAAATGAAAACTTTAACTTACATCATTACTTGGGCAAGTTCGTCATGTTTAGTATTATCCAAAATAAAGCCCTTATTATTTATAATAGGCCTTCTGTTAAGCTCCGAAGGCTTCTCTAATATAACATAAACACGTTAACAAATTATGCCACTATGCGTTGCAGAAACGTTGTGTATATATATTGAGAATATATTGAGTTATTTATTCATTTGTAGCCTTGATTAACTCAACTGACACAGACCAGCAAGATCTCCCTAATATAAATAAATTACATTTAAAAATTGAGATTGAAGTCAAAATTATTAGACCATATCTATATATTATTTAAATATTACCATGGGAAGGACGTAAAACTTGTAAATTAAGAGTGAACATTAAGAAAATCTTTATATATATAGCGTTTAGTAAATATACTCTTCAATATGCGGAAGGACTTTGTTGATGATATATTTTTGATTTTTGGTGGTGGAATAGGTTACTTTCTTTTCTATAATTTTTTTTCTCAATTATTCACTTCGTACAACTTCAATTACCCGTAATAACCCAAAAAATTTTATTAAACAGTCTTAAACAGTCTTAAACACTTGTAAACACTTTGAAAAAATAGCGAAATTCCAAATCGAAAGCATATAAAATCTTATTAAACAGTCTTAAACAGTTGTATGGGTCTGAACATGAAAAACTTCGTTTTTTTTTCAATATTGTACATTTCAAAACTTCTTGCAGAACTTTAATTCTAGTCGTATAAAAACTTTCAATTCATGTTTGGAGATCGGACCATTTATATTTATTCAAGCACACTTATGACGGTGATTATTTTCGAAGACCCTCTCGATTATATTTGCTAACCAAAAAACTACTACGCAGGGCGATTGTGTGCGAAGTACAGTCAAAGTATTATATATAAAAAATTTTGATTTCAGATAAAGAATATTCGTGTATGCAAACCTATGTTAATGGATTTTCAAGACTACCGCGGACAGCTCTTTTTAATACATGCGACTAATTACCATTCAATCGAGGAAAGCTTTCTTCAAATTATGATTACGTATGCATTTGACAGTCTTTATTCGATGTCGGCAAGCATTTATTAAGAAATAGAAAAATCAAATCAGTTGCTGATGTCAAAAGAACGATATTTATACATCACCCTTGCTTCTGGAGACATTTGTTTAATATTTCTTTAGATTCTTTCTTAAATGAAACTGCACTTCTTACAATCTTCCTTCATTTATATTTTCTTACACACTTAATTAACATGAAACATTTATCCTTAAAATTTTGTTTAAAATACATACTAAATTTTGTTTCTTATGTTCTCTTCCACCATCATATTTCGTTTTTAAATCTAGACTATTTCCAAATACATTTAATATTATTTTTCCCTTGTTACGAGAAAGGAGTTCAAATAAAGCGTAGTAAGCCCTGAAAACAAAACCAACTAAATAGAATTAATAAAATGTTTACAATGATTATTGTATATTAAAAGCTAATAATACTTTTTCATTTAGAAACCCACTTGACAATGGCTCTATATTTAAAAATACAAAAAGCATAAAAATTTTTTATTCGTTTATATCGTCTGTAGAGGAATAGGTTGTTGGAATAAATTGTTGGTTTTTATTGTAAATATTACGTAATGTAATTGGTGTCGTTTGTTTTGTAGCTACCGTGTGTAAAAGCATTTTCTCTTATTTACTGATATTTGGTGTTTGATCGGGTTTTCCTTCCGTCCTTCCGTCCATATATATAGCTATAAATATGTATATATATATATATATATATTTAATTGACTCTACATTTACGGCTTTTAAAAAAAAGAGTGGTTTGCTGTTTTTATATTACAACCGCTTTCTTAACCTTTGATTGCCTTAACCTTTCTTTTGATTGCAGTTTTGAATATATTGTTTTAATTAAGTCTGCGTAAATCTCTGACGTTGTGTTTTAAATAATCCTGCTATTTTTCTTATATGTACGCGTTTAAAAAGCAAATCACAAAGAATAAAAATAATTGTTTTCTTTTATATTTTCAATTTAAACTCTTCTCCATGAGAGTGCCTCCATTCAGGTCTTGCTGTTGGAATCCATATCATCGACTTTGACAAGAACTGGTAGCTGAATTTGATGAGAAACCCGATTGTAAACTGGTCATCGATCCTTTGTAATTAGCCGAACTTAAGATCTCATAAAAGTAATTTAATTGCGTTGGTCCCTCAATGCCACAAGAAGGACTAAACCAGTGTAAGACGTAGTTGTTTTTATAGTTCATAACATGAGATCCCTAAAATCATATAAGAAATATTAAAAACAGCTCAGTCATTCAAAACCCAAGAAAATTTTTATAAGCCAATAATGTTTGCGACGTTTATGAAGGCTGTCTAAGGGTTCACCGTGAAAATGGTTTAGATCTAATCGGTAACGTACAATTGACTGAAAACTATTCCAGCCGGTTATTATGCTAAATCCGCCCATAGGCGAATGTAAATTGCTGCATTGTATTACCTGCACGCTTTCCTTATGATGACAAATCAGTGTCGTCTCCTCCTTGAAGTAGTTAACACCTTCACTAAAGTCGTTCAAATCGAAAAACGATACAGCTGCATCTGCAAATACAACAAAGTATGAAGTACTTTGTTTTCCTTCGTATTAAGAATTTATTTACCTTGCTGCCGAGGCAGATCTTTTGTTACTCTATATAGAGTAAAGTGTAAATCGCCACGAATTACATCAAAATCCCATGTCAAAACACTTTTAACATCTGTGTTTCTTATAACTACTTCGTGTATGTAACCGGTTTTCAATTCCACTGTCTTATACAGGCCGTGGTGATCACTATTAAGACCATTATTCGTTGCACGGCCATGTTCATTCATGCTTTTATTTTGTTGAGCCTGTTCAGCTTGTTCATCCTCCTCTAATGAATTCATTTTGTACAATGTTTTCGGTATTAAACCACCTTCATGTACTAGAGTCTGCATTTGTTGTAAAAACAAAAAAAAACAAATTTTATTAAGCACTTATTGCTTTCTTTAAGATTACTCTATAAGCAGAGAAGCTTGCAATAGACGTACGACAGGTGGATTTTGATGATAACAACAAAATAATAGAAACGCGAGCTAACAGTAACATTAATGGTGGACGTAGACATTATGCAGCAAAAATTGTTTTTTTTTTTTTTATGTTATGCTCTTTGTGATCGTATGTTAAAGAAAGAACCTCGTTTAGCGTGAGGACTGAACATTAGGGAAACAAGAATAATGAGCCAATTTTCTAGCTTGCTTCTCTTTCTTAGATACTAACAAGAATGTACGAATCATTTAATAGCGTCGTTTTGATTGCAAAATAAAGCGAAAACTCATTTGCTATAACTTGATACACACGCACGGTGTATTCTTCAAAACACATTTTTGAACGATGTGATAGCGCTTTTTAAATTAAAATTTAAAATCGCGTTTATCGACTACATTTTTCTGGTTGAAACTTGACAAAAATGACTGAAATCAACTAAAAATTCACTACTTTTGAAACTTTAACTTTCCCTAACTTTCGAATTTGGCCTAAAGAGAGCTATAAGTAAAGATATGCAAATTTGCTTGCTTTTTTGCTCATCCCTACGTGGCAGAGGGATAAAAGCAGAGAACTCCAACGTACGCATGGAACGAAAAGACGACAGACAAATAAAAGAGAGCAGACACGCTTATGAGGAATATATATATCTTATAAGTTCCGATATGACTATTTCTACAAATAACAAAAAGTATTTAACAAATCGAATAAAGCCTCTGCGGTTTACAAAAAGTCTAGCAATGTATACATATAATGAGGCTTACCAGAAAATTATAAATGCTTTCAAGGCGAATTCCAAATGATATTTCCATATTTTGTTATTTTTTGCTCCGAAAGAACGTACATACCTAAATTTAATCAGAATTTCACTTATCTTAAAACTACCCAGAATTCATGTGCCTACAGCAGTGTTTTATAAAAGCAAAGAAGAAAATTCGTGTAGGTGTGAAAAGACAATAACCAATGTACTTTTACAAAAAAGAAACACAACAACTCGCCGAGCATCGGATGGATACAAGTACAAATGAATTTAGGATGAAATCAATCAAATATAAATGTACATGACATGTGTTTAGTTAATAAGGCCCTTACACAATCGCATTTAGCTATAAAACAATGCGTGAAATATAAAGAATTTATATAATCCACATACGATAAGGAGGCCCGATAAGGCTTTGGTTTGATTTTTAATTTTTTCAAAAGATAAAAAAGTTATTCAACGTTAATATTTTAAAACCCTTTCGCGATTACTGCAACGAACACGTCGAAAAATAATTAATCAAAATAAAAGCTTACCTTGCATGTCCCCCCCAAAAAGTCGGGTATCAATTCAGAATCTATATATTGTTCAAGTCCTTCTTTCATAGTGTTGGCATCCGCAACGCCATAAAATATAAATTTCGAACGGGTGTTATCATCTGAAAAATAACATCTAAGACTTCATATGAAAATACTGGGTAATGCTTAGAGCATTTACTTATAAATGCAGATACAATAGTCCAGGCGATTGGAAATACTCGCGGGGCCTGCACCACAAGAACGCGGCCCATTGTTTCGGGATAGTTGCTTTCCACGCATTCAATAATACTGAGCAAGGCTTTCACACCCGGACGCCATAGATGGCGCATCGAAAGACCATCCAAGTCTACCAGTAAAGACCAATCCAAAACCGGCGTACCCAAGCTTTCCGAAGATTGCTTGATTTTTTGTATGCCTTCTTCGCAAATGTGCAGAGACTGTAAAATATTAAAACTTATTTCTCTCAATTTTTCTTTTTTTAGTCAGTTTCGTACTCACCAATTTTAAGAGACCTTCTGTGCCTATGGATTTTAATAAACCCTTAACATCCATGTGACCTAAACGCAAAATATAAATCGGCCGACCATCTTTATCATAGTGATGCCAACCGCCCGGAAAATGCTCTGTCACAACTGCCGGCATTTTATAATCGTCAAGTAGATTGTCTATGCTGTTATCTTTGCGCCATTTCAATGAGTCTTTAAGAACGGACAAGGCTTGGCTAACGTGCCAGTCGCGAGCACGAAGAAATCTTAAAATAGTTTGATAACTGGGCAGTTTTGACATATCTTCTTCACAGTCTTCTAGCATTTTACGCAATTCCAATAACTTTGACTCCTGCATCGGTGTCAATTGGCCCAAATGTTTGGCTATAAAATCACCATCTAAGAGAATTTCCGGTTTGGAGCCTCGCTTTACGCCATGAACATCTGCTATGCCGTTTTCTTGCTCCATGTCTTTACTTGATTGTCGACTTATTGAAGATGCAGCAGCATCAACAGGTGGTTTCCACCTATCTACTTCTGTTATACCCTCAGCTTTCAATTCGTTAATGAAATACTCGATAATCTCTTTACCCTTTAAAGTGGTCTGGGTATATTGTTTCATTCCCATTTTTTCCATGGAATGTTCAAAGCCAAAAAAGTTCTTTATATCCAATGTAGCCGTTTGATCAAAACACGTCCAATCGGGATTGTCGGGATGTGCGTAATACCGGCAACGTTCAAATATTTCAATGCGTGAGGAGAAACTCTCATTAACGGCCTCTATATTAAGGGTGCGATTAGCCCAATCTAAAAAATTATTTTGTAGAAAATAAACCACCTCAACGCCAATAAGCTTCTTAAATATGTATGGAGCATCTACGGCCAGCGTGCAACGTCGCTTGGTATTACGTTGAGAGCCGTCTTCAGCAACCTCGTCTGAAATTACTTCACAATCTAAAACAATGGGCATTTGCGGGCAGGTGGGAAAGCGGCGCTCATAAGCCTAGAAAAAATACACGAATGGAAAGTTTCTATTTTACTGTAATAGAATTGTTATCACCAAACAACTTTAAATACTTCGAAATACACATCGCTTGCAAACTGATAATTTTTTTAGCAAATGTCAGCCAAAGTTATCTAATTTAACAAAACTCGCAAACTTTCGCGCAAAATTTAACATTTTCAGCATCAATTCAAACGTCTAGCTTCAGAGCTATGATAAGTTTTAAGTTTATATATATATTGCAATTATGAAGAAGAAGAAGATGTATTCATGGTGTATTCATTTTATTAAAACATTTGCAGCATTGAGAAGAAAAGCTTGGAGACTCCATAAGGTATATATATTTTCGATCAGCATCAAATTGTGGATTGACATAAGTATGTCCCTCTGGCTGCGTCTAGCTGCAAACATTAAGACCTCGGCTTCAAATTTGGGAAAAACATTGGAAGCTATTGAAGTCAGGTTGATACTGAAAATGGGATAAATTGGTTTGAGGGGAAACACGCTCAATACTTCTGCTCTTAGAAAGCAAAAGAATACATATCATTACAAATAAATCTGTGTTTGTGCACTAGGCAGGGACCGCAGGACACGCATCGTGAAAAAGAAATATTCTGAAACTTCATAAATAGCTACAACAAATGATCTTGGATAATGCTTAAAAAAAAAATTATTTTATGCGGCGGAAAGCGACCATTCAAAAAAGTTTTAAAGCTTTACGAGAGAGCGGCAACGTGTTTTCCAAACAAAATAAATCGATACATTGCACACATGTGGAAAAATTTTAAAAAATGTTCATTTCTCATTTTAAACATGGATACATCTTCAAAATTTACCCAATTCGCTAGGACTAGTTGCAAGCCAAGCGTCTCTGGCTATCCTATGCACATTCATACACCGCATAAAAAAATCTTACAAAGAATCAATCGCACATAAAAAATAAGATGCATAAAATTAAACGTGTAAATAAAAACCACATAACAGAACACCGCGCAAAAGTCGGTTTAACTGCACTAGTCATAAATTGCAACATTATATTTGCATATTTGCATGTTCTATGGAAATATGAAAGTAAATGGAGTGCGTATAAAAGATTCACCAATAGCCGAGTGCAATTTGTTTACGCAAAGCTTTTTGTTGATTTGAAAGGGTTAAGATAGAAAATCCGAAAGTATTGTTTGGTAAGAATAAAAGAAGAATTTTTCCTTTAACAATTCTACGCAAAATTCAACAATTTGGTCGAGTAACGCAATCGTATAATAAACAGCTAAATAAATTTCAAAATTCTAATTTAAATGATGCCCATGTAAGATTCGAGCCCAACTTTCTTACACGTTATCCTAAAAGTGTTAAGAGGATTGCATGATGAAGGCTGGTTGAAAAAATTCCAGGAATTTTCCTCTTTATTTGTCTTTCGCCTATCGCGCATATGTTATCTGCTGTTTATAACTTGAACAAAGAATTTTCATTAAATTATTTTGAATAAAGAGTTTGTGGCTTTGAATATGTGTCTACAGCTGCTGACAATGTCACTAAAATAACGGAAACGACTATGGGCAGTTGGCAGATCATTCGGAGAGAAAAGGACTACAGTTTTGAAGTGCATCAAAATAATAAAATAATATAACATAATTTAAATAGCTCGTGAGATATGTTGTTTTTATCAGGCCTCGTGTTTTTATAATTTCTTTTCAATTTTTTAAGCTTTCGCTTGTCATCCAAGCCACTGAAGGATTGGGTATACTCATTTTCTCATAATGTTTGCGATAAACAAAAGGGATCTTCAGAGACCCTCTAAAGTATAAACGTTTTTCACTATCTTGGAGTTTGTTGGCTATTACTGATAAGATGTCTAAAAATGGAAAAAATTGGCAACCTTTCAAAAATTTATAAATGCCCGGATTTATAGCTTTTTCCACATTATTCTAAATAAAACCTGTTAGTATTTCACTAAAAACTTCTAAAATCCCTTAATATTAATCTAGCAGTATTGATTAATGATTGTAATTAGGTTGAATTATTTTGCTTGAAATTTTTTGCTTCAGTATAAAAAAGCGAAAAGTGTAAAGTTCTCTAAGAGGATTAGATTATGATTGTCTATAAAATGAATAAGTAGAAAAAATGTTCGCTTACGGAAACTAAGCACTAAAAATAAAGTTTGAAAATATTTCTGAAAGGAACGGTTTTTGAAAAACAAAATTGAAAGAAAAAAATCATTACAGCGAACTTCAGCTCTTTAAGAAAAAACGATTTCAATAAAAATGTTACATTCATATGATATAAAATTGAATTGAATGATATTTTCCTAAAAAAAGAAATAGTTCGCGAGACATATGTCTTCCTAAGAACTCTGAACAAAATCGACAGAGAAATCTTAAAACAGTTTCAATATATCATCGTTACGTCATTAGTGTTATCTATGAGTCGATTTATTTTTTTATTACCCTCAAACACTAATTACACCACAAGGTAAAACGCGGTCTCTAATTTGCAGCGTGACACTTGGACAATTAATAAGAATTAGCTGGGCTAGTGGGAATTGCTGAGAGCTGTTCCCGGGGGAATCTCGTGAGTATATGTCAAATAAGGCTTTACTCTTTGGCTAACATATTTCCTAGATGGCGTCTTCTTCCCAAGTTCAAAAGTCAGAAAAATGCAAATGACACTATAGTTGAACGTCTTGATGTTGAGATCAGTAAAAATAAAACAAATATTTTGTTTTATGCGTGTATCGCGTACACCGATAAAACTGGCGACATTTTTTTGTGGCGTTGGATAAGGTTTCCATTTCCCACGAATACATAAGACTTTATGGCGACTTTAATATTGGCTGGCACTTGAACGATTCGCGTGCAGGCAGTTGCGTGAATCGACATTGACTAATGCGTTGAAATTGGGTGACTCTAGCGTACTATGAACCCCGTTGTAGATTTGCCTTTTAAGATCTTATTTGCGGTCCTGACATCTCCTTAGTTCTAAATTTGACCATAAACGTTTGTTCTTACTATAAATTTCGATATTAATCATAAACGATTATCATTAATATTCAATGTTATTCAAGTTAATTAATATTCAATGGTTTACATTTGCCTACTCTCAGATTTGCTGGAGCAATATTTTGAACGTTCACAATGTTAACGGTAAAGTGTCTTACTTAACGTACTGTCTGTAAAATGATAAGCCAAAAGCGATATTAAAATAGCTACCTTGCTCGGCGACAAGCTGTAGAAAAAGTAAATGTCGCCCTAATCTGGTTAATTGGGCAGTTTTTCGTTAGAATGGAAATGCGTTGCAAAATATTACTCGGATAAAGATGTCAATCTTCTTCCTAAAGTCATTTCAACGATTCTGCAGAAAACTGATATTAGAAAAAGTCCCAGTCCGGTTGAAGCAATCGTTCCTTGCTCGTGAATAAAGAGCGAATGTATTGATATTGTGAAACTTTTCAATTTACGGACTTCACCGAAGACCAAGCAAGGTATTAAATCAAATGCTGTCGGTCATGGTAACATCAGTTTAGAGGTATAGCAAACTATTTTTGGCGGTTATTCAGCAAATATTTGTGATGAAACAAGTAAAAACATTATAGTTGGACAAGGCCAACCATTAGATAGCCCACACCACTTTGTCTAATACAGTTATTCACTCGTTTTGCTAATACTGCACCACATATTACTTATTATTTTCATGCAACGTCATACTTCTCGCACCAGCACTCATATTGGAGAATACCCAAAACATCACATGGTGTGATTCAAATTTCGCAAACTTAGCTTGCTTTCTAAACATTTTGTTATTTTTCAGTTTCCGTCATAAAAACCTAGGAAATAGACTTTCTCTCCTTACGGGGGCTTGCTTTTCATGATACTCCTATATACGTTAGGATTTAAAATATAAACCTACATGACCCAAATTCTTTACACTTAATTTTTTTAGCAAGTTTGCTGCTATCATAAAATATAAAAAATTAACCTTTTTTCCAAAGGGCTTACTATTCGTGAGAAATCTGATATGATGTGAACTCCAAGAAATAGATTCATGTAGTTCAAATTTGGTCCGTTTAATTTTTATGTCAATTGGTGGACAAGTTTTCATCATAAAACATTAACAATCATGTTTTTTTCGCATACAAGCGTTTATATTTTATAAGAATCTTTATATGCGGGGGTATCCAAAAATTAGACCTACGTGGTCCAAACTCGCTAAGGTTAACTTTCTTGTCAATTTACTATAATATGCCAATGAAACGTTGAAAATTATACCTTTTTACCACCTAGAGGGGAGGGGAAAATTGCCCCAACCGAACCAAATTTGTTGTCACAGTTTAGAATGCTAAAGTCCTACTATTCAGCAAATTTGTCGAAAAATTTTGAATACTGCAACTATTTTCGCTGTTTGGAAAACTTTTCAAAATAAGATTTTATATAGGGAGTGGTCGTAAAAGTGTACCAGTTCGAATCATTTTGTCGCTTGACGCCTGAAGAACATGTTAATTCCACGACAATGCGTATTTATAATATTTTGAGCGAGCTGTGACTCTCCTCATTAAACAAATTAAGACTGATTAAATGTCTGGTTGTACCACAAATAGCGCAAAAACTTCAACTTAAGTTTTTTTTTAACCTCGTTTAATCTTATTCCAATCATTTTAATTTGTATCAGCCGAATCGAGTCACAATAGTAATTGACTTTTTAGATGTCTATTTCTCAAGACGCGGAGACACTGACATGGTTTTTATAGGTTCTGTTGAATCGCATCACACCAGCCTCGAGAAAGCTATAGAACTAAGAAATCCTAGATCAGCAAAAAACAAAACTGTGAAATGTTTGATTGTCGAAATTCTACGAGAATAGATCTTTTATCTGTGTTGGTGAAAAATTTAATGAAAATTTCTAATTTCTCTTCGAAAATTTTTCACTTTGTGGTTTATATTTAAATACATTTTATCGAAAATGTATACAATATACAAGCACACAGCTTAAATCCTTTTTGCATTCTCAATAGGGTTAACTGAGTATTTGGTATGA